GGAAAATGTGATTCTGCCAACAGGATGGATTATGGAATTGTATGTTGACTAAGGGTCCTGTTTGTTATGTGAATGACAATAAGTGTATTTTTACATTTCATAACTTACGTTGCATGGAAAATAACTTAACCCGCGCCCCGAAGGGCTATCGACGGATCCTACCACCCGTAGCAGTGTTCCATTTTTCAGACTTTTTGGTGGCAAATCACACCTAATGGGGAAAATATTTTCATCCCTAAAATATGAATGACCGACTTAACTTCATCTCTGACAAGAGTTTCATGTATTCCCAACAGCCAGTTCACATGTCACTTGACAGTTGATGCACCCACATCCTTTTGTTCCACACCGTCAAGATCCTGACATGAAATCCTGGTGAACAGTTGGCATAAAAATTGGCATTACACCATTTTGCAAAAATACTTCAGTTATTTACTTTCTTTTTATCATCCTAGAATTTTTTTCTTCATCGACACACTCAACCAATATCCAATTTTAGAACACTGCCCCTAGAGGGTGCCGTTTCGGCCCCCCAGATCTCGGAAAGTTACCCGCCTATTTTCAAAATTCAAACGGCGTTCGATAGAGCCACCGGGGAACTACCTAGTGACCTAATTTCACTGACCTCTGTCCAACCAATGACGTTACAGGTCAGGTCAAAGGTCGCATTTTCACCGTTCACAGACATATTTTCAAGAAATGTGTTGTAAAAATCGAGTAAAAGGCATAAAATCATCGATAGAGAATTGTTTGTCAAATACATATTTCGCTAGGTCACTAATGTCAGGTCACAATATGAAAGTGACGCATGATGCATGTTTTATGGTCCATTTTATATGACAAATGCGAGTATGTGGGTCAGACAACCTTTGGGGCCAGTTTAGGCTATGTTCTGATCAGAGGCCAGTTTTACCAACAGAAAAATAGCCGCCTGCCGGAATTTTTTTGCCTAAAGACCGCTGCACATACAGAGTGAAACGGTAAATCCCTATCCGCTTACGTGCCCATCGCGTTTACGCTCCGTATATGAAGCTGTCTTTAGGCAAAAAATTCCGGCAGGCGGCTATTTTTCTGTTGGTAAAACTGGCCTCAGCTCAGGTCAGCTCAGGTATGAAGGTCAGGTCAAATTTAGTAAAATTTTAAAGTTGATATTTTTGCATAAAATGGGTATCGATCTAAATGCAGCTCGTCACGGGGAGCCTAATGATGGGCTTTGTTTGGCGCTACGTGGTCTTAAATTGCAAAAAAAAAAAAAAAAAAAAAATTGAGCCTGAAACTTTGATGTCATCAATTTTGAAGCTTTTTTTCGCTATTACTTGGCAAAAAAGAGGCATCGATCTGAAATATGGCTGTGGATAGAAGACAGTAGGCACTATCATATAGTTTCCGCTTTATCGATATTCGAAAAACTTTTATATCATTTATAGGTGGTCAAAATCCAATGATTTCAAAAACTGAGATAGCAGTTTTCCCTTTCAATTCTACGCCTTTCATGTTTTGAACATTTTTCTGTATATTCAAAGCTGACAGCTCTTCTCGCGAAGCTTTTTTTGGGACGGAAATGGCAGAACATGCATTTGTGGCCCACCTATCATACATAGCCTCTGCCATCTGGAAAAAACTTTTGGTCACAATGTGTAAAATTGATGCCCGGAGGGGTACTCAAAGCTTTGTGGCGATACCTGCAACCGTTTGGGAAATATCTACGGAAAAGGACATGGGGGCTTTGCCCCCCCCCTACGGGGCAAGGGTTAATAATGACATGTAACAGTTTGAGATATGGTCATTGATCAGCGGTATGTAACTTTTTGGCGATGAGCAACTGCATCGGAACAGCAGAAGCAGATCCTGCACAGACGATCGTGAACGCCAAGACAGCAACTGACCTGACGCACCACTCATTCTAACTGTCCCTTCTGGTGACATTTTTTTTTTTGCACAATCTGTTCAGTAGACATTGAAAAAGAAATAGAAAAGGGTCCTTCATGCTCATAATAAGCGCCCTAACCACCGACATATAAGTGTTTACTTCGGTGGGTGCCACACAATATTTCTTTCAATATACTGTCATTGACCAGGAATACATAAGCACAGTAAAGGCGTATTACAAACGGACCACAATGCTGAGCGAATAGGAGAATCCGTTCCTGATACGCATTTACTTGCTCATGCAACACCGGTAAATATAGCTATAATAAAATTGGTTGGATTGTTAATGAGCAAATAAGCAAATAAGCTGCAAATAAGCTGAGGTATAAGGTGGAATTTGAAAAGCGCCCAGAGACTGGGAAGGGCTGCCAATTTTAATTTTTTTTCTATGATAACTTAGATGATCTCACTCCAACATAAATACTGGTTTGCACAAACAAAGAATTATAGCATTTAAGTTATAAAATGGGGGTGCAGAGTAGAACTACATACACAGTACACAGTTCTAGCCAGAGTAGCCACAATCTTGCAGAATCCTCATTTCAGAGCTGGAGTCAACATTGCTTTTGAAGAATCCTAAGCCATCCTTTCAGCTGCTTGATAATCAAAAATCATTTGCTCATTCAGCATCCAATGGCAGACCTTGTAGTCAGTCACACTCCTGCATTTTTTGACCTTGTGGATATGGAAGACAGAAACAGGAGCCATACCTAGAGTAGGTAAACTTCAAGTGCATGAGCTGTTTTCAACACATCTAATCCAAAGGAATATTCAGGGAACAGAAAAGCTATTTTTTGCATATGCATAAGGTGCACTTTGCACAGCATATGCTTTTTTTTTGAAACAGAAGAATGCTGAATGGATGGCCAAAATGGGAACAATCAATTTCCAAAGCCATGGTGGCCAGGCTCCAGCTGGTTCCAAGATCCTGTCCGCTCAAGTAAAGTTGCGCAGAAACTGAATAAATTGGTAAAACTCACCTGAATCGCTTGCGGACAACCTTCAGATGACGCATGCGGCCAGTTCCAGTGGTCTTCCTCCTCTTGGCCTTCACGCTCCAGTTGTCTGTAAATAAAAAAAACATAACTGAAAAACTGCCTTCCCAAGAACTAATTACACAGTTGACAAGCCTACACAGTTTGATGGAGATAAGGGAGGCTATCAAAACATAAAGAAGCTAAAAACATATTGTTTCCCACTGTTTCTGCAGTCAAAATAAATGTTAAATGCCATACACTCCACATACATAAATGATAAGTCACTATTGATTATAAGTCCCTGTTCCTGTTAGCTCATAACAATCCAGAGATATTGCTGTATGTGCAGTGGTAAATAAAAGTGAACTAGACACTATTGTCATGCAAGGAAGCAGCAGAACATGACTGAGCAGCGGAGTAACATGCCAATAAGTTTCTGGTTACAGCTGATAAACTAAATACAGGATAGAGTAGACAACACACATGTATGAAGTAACTGGTCAGTCCCTGCAAAATGGTGCAGCCAAGGGTCTAACTCTGTGCTGATGTGATAATCTCAAAAGCTTTAAGCTTCTAAGGACTTCCAAGACCAACTTCAAACAATTTAAGTAGGCCATTATATTACTCATCCACACAGTAGGAACCAAACCACAATGTACCAATGCCCAGAGGAACATGCCCAGATCAAGGCATAACACAGTAGCTGGGGATTGATATAATTGCTTTAGTCCCTTTGCGAAGCACCAGCAGCAACAGTCAACCACAGGTGTATCAGAGGGGACTGAATATCACTTGCATAGGTAATCATTGGAGAGTTCAGACAGGGCATGAAGGCAATATTCATTTTTTGGTATACCAATTATTTCACATTCTTCATTTCATTCATATTTCTAACAAAGTATAAGATTTTACCTTTCTTCCAGACCCGCAACCAGAACAAAAAATGAGGTCTATCCTAGTGCAGAAGACAAAGCTTTGCATTTGTCACCAACATTTGAAACAACATTTGAAGACTACAGTAAAAACTCCAGATTTAGAGTCAGTGTTAACTGTTAGTATGTAAGCAATAAACATGCAAACAAGTATTTTCACTTATGTTAGTATGTAAGCAATAAACATGCAAACAAGTATTTTCACTTATTAACAGTTTACTTACATGTGCAACTGCAAACAGTAAACAAACGGGATACTCACACTATTGACTATCAGGTGAAAAACAATGGTGTTGAATTCTAGAAAAAAATGTCTAGGTTACAAAGCCTGAACACCAACCTCATACTTATAAATGATTACTTACATGACCGCATCTTAGCAGCAGGGTAGCCACACTGGGAGCACTTGTGCTTCTGGATGTGGTAGGACGACCTACCACATCTTCGGCACAAGGTGTGAGACTTATTATGTCTCTTTCCGTAGCTTGAAGTTCCCTTCGTCTGTAAAAGCACATTTAAGTCAGTAACGCAAAGCGATTGGGGAGCGAGCGGGATATCGATGCACCGCAACACCGTTTATAGCCAGAAACGACGACGAATAACACAAATTGCTGCGGTTAATAATTGTTCTCTGATCGATGGGCAAGCAAAAAATAACCATTATGCGGAGGGATAGGCGTGAGTGAGAAAAAATACGATTAATAGATTCACAGGCACCTCACCATCGCTTGTCTGAAGGGGAAAAGACAGCGCTGTCTATTATCGAAACATACGTTATATTTTTGGGAGTGACCAGTCTAGTTGAAGTTAAAGGAAAATATTTTTCTATCTTTTTGGCTATTTTTTGTTTTATTTTATTATGTTTGTGAAAATTGTTAACTTTATTTCTTAGGTGAAGATGCACGTAAGGGCCTTTGATAATCGACGGTAAATGACGTCATGCCTACAGGCTTAATTTGTTTAGATTTGTGATTGCTTCGATTATGAAAGCCATAACAACTTTTTTGACCTGTTCAATATCCGTCGCCTATAAAGCTTTTGGAAATTCAGCCGTGTATATTTTACACACCGGCAGTAGCTTGTTGCCTAGCGACAAGAAATGAAAACAGCACCCACAGGGTATGTGGAACAGCATTCTGCTAGTGTTTTCGCGGCTTCAAAACTTTTGCAGCCTGCGACATATATTTTTTATTTGTTTGGTAAATAGTAGGTGCCGTAAAAATATGCACACCGACCTGTTTTGACATGTGACGGTGAGTGTTTTAGGCAATTTTGAGGGTCGATTTGATATTTGTTGATCTGTAGGTCTGTTTTGTTGGTCCCCCATTTTGAATAGTGGTAGATGTCAGTTATAATCGGCTAAGTCTTGGTTAAAATAGTTTACCTTAAATATTCGTTCTTTCATTTCATTTTGTCTTCATTAGCTCAGCCAATCACTCATTCATTCATTCATTCATTCATTCATGTATTCACACTCATTTCAATCATTCACCATCGTCTCGTCACACAAGTCAGAATCATGGGTGAACTACATTTTCTCTTGTATTTTAATTATGTTCAGAAGTTTGGTACATTTGGTGTGGGTTTTGGTCATTAAGCTGTAAGCTAATCTAAAAATCAAACCTCAAGATAAGAATGAACATCATGTGTCAGTTGGTGACATACCAGGGAAATAAGCTAAAATTAGAGCACTCTATTTATTGCTCCTGCCCCATGTTGAAGAGATACCCCTAAAAGCGTGATCTTTTATCGGCCCTTACGCAGCTAGGCAGTAATTCTCAGACCGGTGGATGGTATCAATAGAAAGAGAATGCGTCAAGGATTAACATGAATTAATTAAAATAACATTAAAATGTTAATGAAGCGTGGAAATTAGTCCCAAACATAAGCTAATTATTGCTCCTACCTCGGCGACGGCGCTCCCCGCAGTCGGCGGAGAAGCTAAAATAAAAGCCACCATCCTCCTCCGTAAGTCAATTTTAGAGCGGCCGAGTGGGCCGATGCGGGGCCACCAAACTGAGGTGAGACGTGGCTAGTAATTGCAAACCGCCATAGAAATCAATATCTTAAGACGTACAATATGGGATGATTACTCTGAAGCTGGAGTGAAAGCATGAGTAGATTGCAAGAAACGAAATGCATAGATTGGTTGAATTATGTACAATAGGCACAGCTCAGATGAAGCCATTTCTATGATGTTGACATATGACATAACCCTTCCTCTCCTCACCTATGACCTAAGTGCATTGGCAGTTACCGGCATAGTTTTTGAGCACGAGTGCAATTCGCCATCGGACCGCAATACATGTTGCTAGGCTGCTGCAATTACAACGAACATACGAATACTGCCTTCATTTGTAGACGTTTGTTTTTTAGGCGGTCTTTGACGTGCAAGGGGGCATACCTGTCGACAACTTGAGTTTCTCCGAATTTCAAAAACTCCCAGAATTTCAATTCCTTATGCACTGTTGTAGGTACAGCTATGTTCACAAGTTTTCGTTTCCTCCTGTTCTAAAAAGGATGATATTTGTCGATTTCGTGCGTCGCTGATAGGAGGGTGCGTTTGATAATTAGGCCCAACGCTTTCTGCATCCGCGAGTAGGTACCTTCAAAAGGGAACAACAGTTTCCATTTATTACACTATGGGACATGTGACAAAATGACCACTGGAACACGCATGAAACGGAGCTCATATTCCTAAAAATGTCTACAATCACTTCTTTTCTGACACTATTAGCAAATACCATCTCAAGTTAGGTGGTTGACAGACAGTCAATGGAGATCTGGGGAGACTGAGTGATGCTAATTCACCACTTAACTGATAATGAGGGCCGAGGGAAGAGAAACATGCAACATGCACAACTGACAACTTGACAAGTGACAAAACACTACCACTATTGCGCAGTGCACAACCAAATTACAGCAGCCAGCCCAAAAAATGCTTTTGGTGGCTAATTGCAAAACAAGTCACTAATAAATGTCTTAGTTGCAGCTGAACACTGCACAATAATCACACTGTTCACACATTGAGTGAGATGCCACAGGTGGTTTGAATCACACTTTGGTTCAACTGCAAATCTGAAGTGTTGTCATGAGGTTCATGCCTCCATGATCACAGCACTTTGGTTGTGGTTGACATAACACTTGTAGTCTGCAGAGTTCCACATGAACTGCAGACACCTCATCTGGTGGTCTTCATGTTGCTCAACTTCTTCAGGAGGCAAATGTCGACCACCCAGCAGAAGCATGGTCCTGCAGAAAAGAAAGGTAATGCATAAGGTACAAACATTATCTGCTGAAACAGCTCCTTCTGTTGGCTGTTATTAAACTTTTAACATAGGTAACATAACACCATGTATTCTATGTATATTACATTTGTTGAAGTAAAATACTGCCGGCTATTTCAAAACCAGAAAATGAAATTATATTGTGGCATAATTCACCTGCTCAGCTATTAGTATCAAATAATAATTAATTTAATATTAAGCATATTCTATATAACACATTCATAGAATATTCTACTTCACGTCACAAGGACTCACAATCTTTCTGTTTGGTGTTTGATTGACGCATTAATTAAGTTTGTCTTAGGTTTTATTATTGCAAAAAAATCATATTGCATTATTGTATCAAAATACTGCCAGCAATAACAAAACAAGAACATGAAATGCCAATGAGCAGGCCGCCTTTCCTTAAAATGGATTACTTTGAAAGGAATTTTAGTTTCTTTTAAGGAAAAGGAGAAATGATTATCAGGTAATTATCAGAAAACCACTCAACCAGCAAGTGGCTGGGTGGTTTCACAGCAAACATCAAGCCAAAACATATGCTTACATCTATCTAACAATTGAGCCATTTGACTACTACAAGGATATGTGAGCAAAATAAGAATCAAATTATCCAGTGTTGACTTCCTTGCAAAGTTTATGCCTTATTTTATGAAAATGTGTCACTAGAATATGATACTTATCATCGAATATTATTTAATTTACGATTTATTTCGATCGGAATGCACATGGAGTCCCGCGCCATTTTCGTCGACGATGAATATGATCGTGTTTCATGAAGAGATAAGGGGTTTCAATGGTATTTCAAAGCAATAATTTGATGCAAAAATTTGTAGGAAATAATATGAAGCTGGTTCAAATGGCCATCAACCATTTAAAACACCGAAAATACTCACAACTCCGTCCCGACGACCACGCAGCACCGCGCACGCCACACTACTGGCACAATGCCAAAACTGTTGTCACAGCGGAAATGTTTTTTTTCTCGATTGCAATTGTGGAATTATTTATTAAACAGAAGATGATCTTTCCGAAAAACCGACTGATTTCATACACAGATGCATGGAAAATAAAAAAAATCCCGGTAAGTTTATTTGTATTGTTTTGTCGATTTTGACATGCTCCTAGTTTGCAGCCATATTTCGATATGTTCTACAGGGAGTTCAGAATTATTTCAGGACCAATCTTTTCCTCATTCATTTTCCCGTCGATCATGAAATTTTTAGAGCGGAACAATTGGTTTCCAGGCGGTCCGAGCGGTTTTCGTGAGAAGGGTGCAAAAATCGGCGTCATTTTTAGAGCCTCGACACCAGCTCAACACAGGACCCTATGGGAGACGGTGAAGTAGCGGGAGCAATAAATAGAGTGCTCTAATTTTAGCTTATTTCCCTGGTGTGTCACCGACTGGTGTGGTTGATTCAATTTATATATGAGTCAGTGTCATTAAGTTTCGGTAATGTCAATTTCTGGTTTCTTATTTCTCACGCTGACACTGGGCAGAACTGTCAGCTCTAATTATCTCTGACTCATGCACAACAGCCATGATCTGATGTATTTCAGGATGTCTCTTGTATTTAGTGTCTTGTTTTGTGCATTGTATTACACCTACTGTTTTTTTTTCACTGAAAAATAATTGCTAGTCTCTGTCAACGTCAAGTGTCTTGGGTGAGTCCAGACATTCCCAGGAAGATGTGATGTGGCTATCCTTAAATAATTGTTTCAATTTTAGTGCTGGGTCTTGATTGCTCTTAAGGGAGGCAAGAACAACAATTGCAAAACATTTTTGCTTAATATTAAATTGATTTGTAATAGCAGAACTAGAAGCATCATTTTCATATAATATAGTATGACAACATGTAACACTCAAATGATGCTTGAACTATATGTTGCAGGAAGTAGGTGACATATACATGGACTACATCTGCAGCTTGATGTTGAAAATGTTCCTTTAGTAAGGTATGATGCTATGTCACTGATACTGTATGTGCTCAATGTTAGAAAAAAAACTGAAGTTCCCATCAAATAATTGTTGTTTTCCTAGGCCAGTTCTTTGCTGAATTGATATCGGTTCCTCTCTAATATATCATGAATTGCATTGCTAGCTTCAACATTTTGAGAGTTTGGGAAATGCTACCTTCCCAGTTTTAGAGAGTTGAATTGCATCATGAATCATGAATTGCATTGCTAGCTTCAACATTTTGAGAGTTTGGGAAATGCTACCTTCCCAGTTTTAGAGAGTTTGGTATTGATTTTTATCTTCCCAGTTTTTTTTTTTCCATTTGAAATGTGAAACAGTCAATAGATATCCCCATCTCTAAGTAATGGAGCTTCTCCATTGTGCTTACAGGCGCTGTCATGTCTGACCAGCCAGACTCGACCATTACATCGACGGAGCCGCGACGGGGGCTGAGCCCGGAGCCGCGACGGGGGCTGAGCCCGCCGCCGCGGCGCCGTCAGCCCTCCGGCGAGGTACCACAGCCCAGCAATAGCGACCAGCGCGCCGAGCGCCGGCCGCCGGAGCGGCGCTCCCCGGAACACTCCGAGCCGGACTCGGCGCCGCGCCACCCGCCCAGGGAGCCGGCCGCAGCCGCCGCCGCCGCCGCGAGCTCCTCGGACGTTGCTTCGGCGCCGATGGCGGCGCGTGCGCCCAACTCGGCTGCGAGTTCTTCAGATGCTGCGCTTGCGCGTCCTCCGGTTCGAGCGTCCAACTTGGCAGCGAGCTCTTCAGACTCTGCTCCGACACCGAGATTGACGCTCCAGCCCAACTCGACCGCTAGTTCGTCAGACGCTGCACCGACACCAAGAGTAACGCTCCAGCCCAACTCGGCGGCAAGCTCTTCTGACGCTGCTCCCGCGCGTCCCCCGGCAAGCGCTCCCGGTTCGGCAGCTAGCTCATCAGACGCTGCACCAGTGGCGAAACGACCACCGAGCTCAGACGCGAGTTCCTCAGACGCCACGCCTGCCCGAGCTGTCAGCAGGCCTCCAGTCTCGGCGGCCAGTTCTTCAGACGTAGCCTCGACCCCGGTGCTGAGTCGACCCCCGAGCACAGACGCTAGTTCGTCGGACACAGCCTCTCGCGCTCCCGCTCCGCGCCACACCATGACCGAGCGAGCTGGTGACGCGGCCGCCGCTAGTTCCTCGGATGTAGCGGCGGCGCGGCCTGAGAGACCGCGTGGCGCCGCCGCTGCGAGCTCTTCGGACGCGGAGTCAGCACAGCGAGTGCATGTGGTACGTGATGAGCGTCCACCGACCACCGCTGCAGCCAGCTCCTCAGATACAGCCCCGTCAGTGACGGCGGCACGAAGACCGGTCACCGCCGCCAGCTCATCGTTCGTGGCATCATCGCCGGTAGACGGCAGTCGCTCCAACGACGCCGGCTCTTCGGCCTCATCTTCATCGTCGTCGTCTTCCGGCCCATCGAGACACCGACTCTCAGACGAGGCGTGTGAGCCGGACGAGGGCGGACGCGCCAGTCCTCCTCCGGTCCGGATCCGCCACGACTCGGAGGCGGAGGCGGTAGAAGTGGCCGACAGTGCCGCGCCCGCTCCGGCCGCTCCGCTGCTGGTGGCGCCGCGGCCCCGGCCTCCCCTGGCGTCGCCGGACCAGCCCGAGTCTAGTGCCGACTACCGGCCGCCGACGTGGCGGCGGAATGGCGACCAGCAGGCGGCAATCTCCAGCTCGGGCGCGGTCCGGCCGCGGCTGACTCCGGCCGCCGTGGCGCAGCACGGGGAGATCTCGGGCTCGTCGCGGGTCTCGCCTCTCAGCACGCCCATATCGCAGCACCAGGAGGTGTCTGGCTCGGCGCTGAGCGGCGGCAGCAGCAGCGGTAGCGCTCGCAGCCCGGCCGGCGCCGACTCGCAGGGTGCCGACATCAGCTCGGCGCGTAAGCACAGCCGCTCGCCGGGTCACGCCGGGGGCGCCGACTCAACATTCAGCCGAGCGGCGGCTGGTCCACGAGACGAAGGCCCAGCGACAAGCAGCAGCAGCGGCGGTGGCGGCAGTGGCCTGACCGGCGGTGGACGCAAGCGACCGGCCCTGGTGCCCGACTACTCCGACTCTGACTCCGACTCGGACTGCTCCTCCTCGGCCGGCAAGGCGCCGCGCCTGGACGCCGAGATCTCCACGAGCCAGGCGGTGCCCTCGCCGGCCGGGCGCCGTCAGGACTCTGGCGAGGCGGGCATCTCCACCAGTGTGTCCGAGGAGCGGGGTGAGCTCAGTCCAGACGCCGGGGAGCCGGCGCCGGGGGCCGCGCGCGCCCCCGCGCCGCCGTCCCCGTCGCCGGCCTCGCCCGGCTCGCCGGCCGCGGCCGTGGCCGGGCCTTCATCCGACTACGAACCTGCTGAGCCTCGCAAACTGAGCGAACAGCAGAGTTCGGAGGCGGTGGCGGCGGGGCCCGGTGACCAGGAGGAGGCGTCTCGCGCTCCGCCGCGGCCCGAGCCGGCCGTGAGCGGCAGTAGTGATGTCCTCGTCTGCAACGACGCCGAGGATTCCAACACGGACTCACGCATAGACTCTCACATCGACGACGATCTGCGTCCGCACCGGCGGCCTCTGCTTGATGCGCTCGACGAGGATTCACGCATCGACTCGCATGGAACAGACTCCGTGGACAATACGGACTCACAGCTGGACTCGATGGAGAATGATGACTCGCGGATTGACTCGCACGATAATGCCGACGACTCGCTGAACGGGTTCGGCGGTGCAGTGAGCTCAGCCGAGCCGCAGGGCACGTGTCAGAGTTCGGGGGACCCTGAGGCGTCCGGCTCTCCTCCCGGGGCGGGAGAGGTGCCGGACGCACGTCCCTCCGCCGCCGCCGCCCCGGCCTCCGTACCCGCCACCGCCGCCCCGGTCGCCACACCCGCCACCGTCAGATCATCCACCGCCGCGCCCACCACCGTCAGATCATCCACCGCCGCGCCCGTCACTGCACCTGCCGTTACATCCACCGCTGCTACCACCTCCGCGCCCGCTAACGCATCCGCCGTCACCGCCACTGCCACTGTATCAGCCACTGTCGCCGCCACTACCGCCACCGCTACTGTATCTGCTACCGCTGCTGCCACCACCTCGCCATCAGCCGCTGCCACTGACTGTGACACCGAGTCTGCTGGAGACGCTGCGCCTGCATCTGCTTCTGTCGACGCCACTGCCTGCTCTGTTGACTCTCATCCTGCATCACCACCAAACCCAGTCTCTTCAGCTTCATCATTAGCACAGCCCGCGTCCGGCGCGCTCACATCAGACGCAGCACAGCCCGCAGAGGTCACCACTGTTTCCTCACTGACGAGTGGACAGCCAACAGCCGAACCATCGCTGGAATCGTCATCTGAGAAAGTTGTGGCCAATCAGAAGACTGAAAAGGAGCAACCGACAGCCGAAGATGTCAGTCGACCAGTCGAGACTGCCCCTTCAGCTCAGCCTAAAACGACTGACGCTGCCTCCCATTCGGCTTCAAAACTTGGGTCGAAGGGAAGTGTTGCCGAATCTTCCAATAGTCCGCCAGCGTCGGCTGTCTCAGCTCCCAAATCTCCGTTGGAAGAGCCAAAGACCTCTGATGCTCCTTCAGGAACTGTGAGTAAACCGAACCCGAAAGCTGATGACGCTCAGCATTCGAAAGAAAAATCTAAACCAGGTACTGAAGCTGCCACATCTCAAGCCCAGGAGCCTGAACCTGTTGCACCGGCTTCAGATAAAACACCAAAGTCGGAAAGCTCCGAAAAGAATCCCGAGGTAGGAGATCCAAAATCAGTCTCGGCTGAGTCGACTGAAGCGCATAAGTCGGGCCTCTCTACCGCACCGGTGGTCGGTGGCGATGATGTTGAGATGACAGATGCGAGTGAACAGATAGTTCAGCCGCCAGAGACAGTCCAGCAAGCGCCACCGGCTGTTTCTAGTGCATCAGCTGCAATGACCTCGCTGCGGGGATTCAGGAAGCCGCCTCGAGTCTCTCCAACCAGTGAAATGCCGCCCACCGCGCTCTCAGCAGACCAGCCAGAACCCGCGAGTGTCGAGGAGGTGGTGTCGCGTGGCAGTGGTGACCAGCCCGGCGGTGACGTATCGTCTGTCGACTCGGGCACTGCGGCTGCTGACCCATCAGCAACAGATACAGTGGAGCCCATGGATGTGTCTGAGCCCGTGGTCTCGGAGCCTGTTCTCTCGGAGCCTGTCGCTTCAGAGCCTGTCATCTCGGAGCCCGTCATCTCAGAGCCCGTCTCGGAGTCCGTCTCAGAGGCTGTCTCAAGACCAGTCTCTGAGCCTGTCGCTTCAGAGCCTGTCTCTGGATCTGTTGCCTCGGAGCCTGTCGCTTCAGAGCCTTTCTCTGAGCCTGTCGCCTCAGAGCCTGTTTCGGAGCCCGTCATCTCAGAACCCAGCTCGAAGCCTGTCGTCTCAGAGCCTGTCTCGGCCCCTGTCGTCTCAGAACCTGTCATCTCGGAGCCCGTCATCTCAGAGCCTGTGTCGAAGCCTGTCTCGAAGTCTGCCTCGGAGCCTGTTGTCTCAGAGCCCGTCATCTCAGAGCCTGTCATCTCAGAGCCCGTCATCTCGGAGCCCTTGCCTGAAGCGTCAGTAGTGGCTACCTCAGCTACCACTTCTGATGATTCTGTGACCACGCCAGCAGCTTCTAAAGTTTCGGATGCGCCTACGGCAGTGACAGAGAAAACAACCAACAACCGTGACGACCTACCATCAGACAAAGCGGCTGCGAGGGCTCCCACCGCTGCCCCACAAGCGCCTGCTGAGGACGATAAAGTCACGGGCGTTGCGGCGTCAGACAAGCCATCATCGTCTGCTGCGCCTGCGACAGCGGCTGCTGGGGATTCAGCTGCTGTCGCAGCCGACAAATCATCCGCCGGTGTGACTGTAGGAGAGAACGTTTCTGCTGGAGAGATATCTGAGGCCCCCAAAGCGGCGTCTGCGGCCGTCTGCCCAGCTTCTACAGCAGAGGAAATACCGACTCCATCTCTGAACTCTGGCAAGGCCTCTGAGGTGAAGGCGAATGACTCTGACATGCCTGCTCCGCCGCCGGCGGCAGTCGAGGCAACATGTCCGTCTGCTGCCATGTCGAGTGATACATCCGCTCCAGCGACTATAACGCCCGTTCCAACTGAAAAGGCTGCCGAGAAGACTGAGGCTGAGTCCGCTCCTCCCTCCAAGTCGGCCCCTGATGCATCAGAAGCTGCTCCTGCTACCAAAGATGTTTCCTCTGAAGGCGCTCCGGAAGGCATGCCGCCGCCGGAGAAGACCACCTCAGAGGGTGTCGATGCTACAGCCGTCGCTACACCGGCCACTGCTGTTAAAGACGCTCCCTCCACAGAGGACAGTTCCAAAGTTCCTACGAGTACCCGGCCCCGGCGGCTCTCCTTGCGCGACCTCGGCCAGCCTGAGCCGGGCACTAAGGTAGCGCCAGGCAGCCGGTCGCCCCGGCAGCCGACTGCCGAGACAGGACGCTCGCCGCGCCGTGAATCTGCCCGCTCACCACGCTCCGACGCTGGGAAGTCACCGCGGAGGCACGCGTCGGTCGAGGAGGCCGCCGCAGGAACTGCAGCCAGTGGAGCACGCGCCCGACGACAAACGTCGCGCGACAGCGAGGGTGTCGCTGCCATCGACGCGTTCCTGCGCGAGACGGAGCCAGTGGTGGAGGAGGACTGCACTCCGGCAGCGTCGGGCTCGGACGGTACGCCCGTGGTGTCGGACGCCTCCGTCTCTGCTGCGGATCCAGCCGTGCCCGTCAAACGCAAACGAGGCCGACCGAGGAAACACCCGCGTCCGGGCCCTGCTGTCGCTCGTACTCCGTCAGTTCCTGCCACTCCTGGAGTCTCAGCCGCCCCAGCCGCTACCCCTGTCAAGCCAGCAGCCGCTGCTGCTCCAGACGCCGCCGTGGCTACGCCAGTACGGAAGAGCGGCCGGCCGCGCAAGAAGAAACTGTCCGAGGATGAGCGAGAAGAGATGGAGCAGCGGAGACTGCAGCACGCCAAGGAGAGGATGCTGGAGGGACGCACCCGCACGCAGTCCAGCTGTAGCACGGGGGAGGACAAGCCGAGGGCTTCCCGTACCGCGGCGAAGGAGGTTACAAAGACAGCGGTAGCGACCCCAGCGACCCCGACTCCGACGCCGGTGAAGGGGAAGCCGGGGAGGAAGCGGAAGAACCCTGTTGTGGAGCTGGCGACCTCTACGCCGCTGGCAGAGGCGGCGACGAGTGCAGATACGGGCGTCTGGCAGGTGACGGTTGACCCCGGCGAGGCTGAGGGAGATCGCCCGCCGATCAAGAAGATACGACTCAAAAAAGGTCAGTCACTTTAGATATGTTTTACTTCTTTATATGAGCCTTCTCCTTTATTTATTTCGACCTTGATAGGTATTCGTAATTCAATTTTGATACTATTTGGGGAGACTAATTTTGATGAATTCTCAATAAACTTGTTCTTTCGGAGCATACACTTGGTTAATGAAGTGTGAAAGCTGATGTTTTACGATAAACAACAATCAGCTGATTCAAGTAGTGATCACCAGAAGCTCTCGATTTATGTAGCTGGTGGTGCGTGGGAATATTGGGCTTACAGCTGGCTATTTGACTCCGACAGATGGTACGCCTGCTAAAATACCCGGCCGTAAGAGCAAGGCGGCCAAAGCACTGGCTCAGGCGCTCCTGCCGCCGAAGGAGGAGCCTGCCGAGGAGCCCGAGGCTCCTAAGGTCACAGAGGTCAGCCCTGACCCGGTCATCGCTGACACACCAGCTGCGCCGCCCAGCGAACCTCCAGCGGCAGTCGAGATGAAGGAGTCCAAACCGGAGGTGGAAGAGTCCAAACCGGAGGTAACTCCGTCTGCCGCAGAGGCACCGGTGGAGCTAGAAGCCTCAGCGTCGGAGGACACCGAACCGGCGTCCAAACGAGCCAAGACGGAGCGTCCAAAGCGGGAGAAGAAGCACAAGAAGTATCGCGGCGGGCGGGGTGATCATCCCGCTCCACCATCGCCTCCGCCCGCCGACGACAACGCCATGATGGACGCGGAAGACGCGCAGCAATCGCCTCTCCCAGCGGCGTCGGCGGCAGGCGGCCCCACCACAGAGTCCGTGCCGGCTGACGTCTCTGTTTCTGAGCCTGCTCCTGCCGTGGCGTCAGTGTCGGAGCCGGTGTCTGAGGCTCCGTCGGCGGCTCCCTCCGAGGCGGCTCCCTCGCCCGAGGAGCCCGCGGCGCCCTCTCCTGAGGAGCCGGCGCCGCCGCGGCCTCCGCCGGTCCCCACTCGGCCCCTGCCCCTGGATGAGGACTCACAGAGCAGCGTCCGCTCCGTGGGAGGCACGCGCAAGGCGCGCAGTGAGGTCTTCGATCTGAGCAGGTGAGTGTGCGGCTAACGATGTGTTATCGTTAATACCGGTTTAACTAATGAGCACTTCTGTATAATTATATCATGACAAATTTGTTCCTTGACATTTATTGTATTCTACCCTCCAATAGCCCATGTAGTTGCTGTCTGTCCAATGACCGTAAATATCTTCGTTGGGCGCCTATGGTCACCAGCTGCCTCTCCTGACCGTCACCGTTCTCCGCTCATTTTCCAGTCAGCAGCCGCTGCCCGCCGACCAGCTCTATGAGTACCGCTGGCCACGAGATGACCCGCGCGCCGAGATGTACATGCTGCAGGAGCAGGTTTCTTCCTTCTTGGACCTCGTGTCATTCAGAAGACGGTACCCCGGTAAGTGAAACAGGGACTAGATGTGTGAAGGGCGGATGGGATGCGACGGGTCCAAAGCTCTGATGGTTTCGACTCACTTTCGCTGTTGTCCATCACTATGCACTGTTGTATGGGCGCTAAACGACCATTGTAGGCTAGCCGGTGCGCCCTAAAAGCCCCAATAATTAAACAGTTTTTATTCGCCGCGATTCCGTTTGTAACAGCACACAGCAATGGTATTTTGCCATGACTTTCTCAATGTTCAAACGCTAGCATAGCTTAACTCGCATGTCGCACCTGTAAGTCACTCCCTACCCACCAACACTCATCTGCCACCTAACCTAGTTACATTCTTTGACACACGTTTTTCAGACCTGCCGCGGCGTCCGGTGGAGGCCGAGGAGCGCGCCTTCCTGCTGGAGCAGCGGGCCGTCACCGGGACACTGGCCGAACTCGGTCTGACCGCGCTGCGCAGCGGGGACGTCATGGACGTGCTCTTCCAGGACTTCCCCGAGAAGTATGAGGAGTTCCGGAGAACGCTGGAGGAGCGAAAGGTGCTCGAGGTGCAGAAGGCGCAAGGTGAGACGACTGGGACGAGTGGATTGATTGTGGGAATATGCCATTGTGTTGCTCTTTGCGGTAATTGGCTGCTTGCTAGGTGTATGTGTAATGACGATATTACGTGTTTCGGGGAATATTCACTCAAGATCTCAAATTTTGCCCTCAATCGATGCTGAAAACGTCAACAAGATGCTAGAAGTAGTTTTACTCTGAAATGCATCTCTCTGAGTTATGTATGCCGTATGGCTTACTCGTTTTTACCTTCGTGGACGCAACATGGCCATAGCAGTGAACTCGTCCAAAAACCAAAAAAAAAAAAAAAAAATACGACATTCACTTGTTTATAGAGCATAAGTCACCAATGCTACCGCTGAACTCTCCTTTGGTTCCCGTCCTTCAGCGAGCTACACGCCTGCCGAGGTGGAGAAGAACCGGCTGCAGGCGTTCGTGCGGCAGGCGGCGCGGCAGGCGGCCGCCTGGAACGCCCAGCTGAACCGCGACAGGCGCGAGGAGCGGCGGGCCTCGTTCGACCTGCAGACGTTCGCGGTGCACTACCCGCAGCGTCGGAGACCGGTGGCGCCGGCGGCGGCCCGGGTCGGCGACTACCCGGTGGCAGTGCTGCCCGGACAGTTCACTGACTACTACCGCAGGTGGGTGCTGGGTAACGCACAGACTATCGTGATACACACTTACTACATATACAGACAACTACCGTGGGTACCGGGTGGGTACTATTTACAGACTCTATTCAGCAGGCAGGTACCGGCCTTCATACTTCTACCACCGGTAGGCTTTTGGTGATATAGACTTCTACCGCAGCTGCGTACCAGCTTACACACAGTAGTCCCCTCCCAACCCTAAATCCGGCAGCTGTAATTGTTCTTAGATCTCCCGTCTAATGCGACTTCTTAGCCGTCTCGCTGGCTCAGTGACTGACTGACCGTCGCCTTTGCTCCTCACCAGGTACTCTAGCGCCGATCTGAAGTACCTGCCGGTGAACACAGTGATGGGCACACGGCCGGTGGAGGAGCTCGGATCTGACGGATCAGACTCGGAGATGGGCGACTGCGGCTCGGATGGATCCAGGTAACCGGGACGACGGACGGACGAGACACGGGGAGGGGGAGGAGTCAGGGTTGACTTACGGGACGACGGGACGGGGGGGGGGGATTAACGTTGGACACTGGACAGATTGGGCGAAGGGTCGGAATTGAAAAAGCGAGGTGAGGCGAGGCGAGACAGGGAAGTGAGGGGACTGACGGAGGGACATAGTTTAGAGATAAATTTATGAAGCAATGAGATGTAGCGTTGTGGAACGATCGGACGGACATGTGGGCGTCAGATGGTCCCGGGTACGGAAGCTACTAGCTAGTCAAACGCTGGTGGGATTACCGGTCGAATATGCACCGAGGGTTCTGGAAGTGGCTCAGGCTAGGAAGCCACCAACCATTCCAGGTCCACCGGCAACTTGATTAAAGCTGGCAGAAGTTCCTTAGCTCGATGAAGTTTGTTGCAGGTGACCTATGAAGCACGGTTTTTACCATGATCAATATTTTATGGTATTTATGAGGTATTTATTATTATTATTGTTTATTCAGCATTGCCATGCGACAAAAAGATACATGCGGTATATTTGAGGACGCCTCCATATATCGCAACATGCCATACCATCGCAGTTTGGTACGTCCGGAGAGAACTTGGCTGTATGCCTGTATGGTATGCTCGATGAGAACCGATTGACACGTTCGTTGCTCTTATCACCACATGTACTCAATCTCAATGCGATTTTTTGTCCCATCTCTCAACGATGCACAGCAGCTGACACAATTTCAAACCGTCAATGTGACCTATTCTTAATTGGCTCTATCATTCTTTTTGAAGATAATCGATAAATTACTGTCGTGAAAGTGTGCTCTTATCTTTAAGCTTATTTTCTGGTGCAGTATAATAACGATGACTCAGTGCCTTTAATTCAAAACCACTGGTCACTTCTCAAATAAAATGTATGTCATGCGCTGGCTAGCATTGACAGAGCAATAGCTTAGCAATGAATCGTCGTGATTTATCTAGCCACATTGGCGTGAGTAAACCCTGGTCAAGGTAGCAGCGAAAGTGAAACAATACCGATTGGCCCATCATTTTCCATAGCAGATTCTGCACTCGACAATGCGAAAAACACTTGTGATATCTATTGAATGAGGATTTCCTTTTTGGTTATGCCATTACTCATTTATATTCCTCTTCTTTTGTATGCTTCCCAGAGACGGCTGCTTTCGTGAACGATATGGCTGATCTCTTGGCCGCAGTTTTTGCGTTCGTTGGGTGCTTGTCGCATTGGCGATGAATCATGATGGCCTTTGTAGACAATGATTCTGTTCTTAGTGCTTTGAGCTGGGATTAGCGATTTGGCGATTGATCATGCAACAGTTTGTCGCCTTTTCGCGCCGACAGATGCTTGCGAAGATTTTTCTCTTGGCTCGCTATCTGAATTATTGCAGTTGGTGCGAGCTTGGTCTAAGTACCGCTTTAGTACATGGAAGGTGGGGAAGGAGACACTCCCGGCTAGTTTGCTTCTCCCTGGCCATTGAGTTGCTGCCCGCAGCCGTGTGGCTGACCCGGTGCTGTAGCTCTTCACAGCACCGCTCACTTTTATTTCTGGCCCGCTCTCGCGTCTGTTAGAGTTGCTCTGTCTCTGCACCGCTCTTTGCTCTGTTTTTCTGACCTCCACGCTGTGTTCTATCGTTGAGTTGCCAGCGCACGCCCTAGTCTGTAGAGCCGCAGGGCTGGCCCGGCCTCCTTTCTGTTGGTGACACGCCGTCCCGCTGTTTCAGCCCGCCTGGCACGGCACCGCTCGCACGTTCGGCGCTCCTTCGACGCTAGCCGCCGCCGTCTGCGCCTCCGCCGCGGCCTCTCGGCGCCGCCCGTCTCGCGCTCTCTGTCCCCTCTCTCCGCTCTCACTCCTCCTGTCACTCTGTCTTCTCCGATTGGAGTGGGACACGGGAGCGCTCCTGCGGGAGGGCCGCGCCTCCCCGGTCCCTCGCTGCCGGTGGAGCGACCGGCGAGCAGCCAGTGAACTGCTACTCATGTGTAACTCTTGTCAGACTTATCTTTGTACCGTGTCCATAATACTGGCTGTTGCCGGCCGAATACTCTGTTCGCCAGTAGGCGACAGCCGCCTTCAGTAGGTTCTCTGTTCTCTGTTCAGTAGAGAACCGTTCTCTGTCTGGTGCCGGCTGCTGATGTACAATTGAAGCCCAGAGCGGCGTATATGTGATAGACCGGTTGGGGGTTTTATAGTGGTGAACTCAGACGTGCTGGCGACGATATTGAAATAAACGACAGATTCGTACGGTTTACTGGTAGTTACTCAACCTATCATAAGGACAAGAACTACAGAGAATTGTACACGCGATGCTGATGGTGGATTCAACATATTGTCAGGTAAATAAGCTAGGGAATATCCATGTTTCAAGGTGACTAACGAGTAGCATCTGTTGATTGCTGATGTGACTAACGCGAGTCTTTCAAATCAGGCTACCGACTTGACCACTTGAAATGAAAACAGATACGCTTCCTTGCCTGTGAATGACGTGCAACATTCCGGCTGTTTTGATATCCCAAGTACTGTGTCTGTGGACGCTGTCATGGCTATCTCAGCGCCGCGGTGCGGTGCTCTCCCGGAGTCGAGCGCCGACCGTCGGCTCTATAGATGACGCCCTCTTCTGCCGTCTCCCTACGGCCGTTCTGATGCTTGATTTACCGAAAATATCATCCTGATTTATGGAACATCATTCGATGAGCAATCAGTCGATTGTTTTCGTTCCACAGATGCATGCATTTTTAGACATCCTTCATTCTTAGTAAGGCCGCTGGACAAAGCTGCTTATATTGCGGTATGGCAGACGCTTTCTAAGCCGGTACCGCTGCCTATCGGGAAATATTTCCCATTTGCAGTAACGCATGGGATTCAAGGCTTGCGTATCTGCTTTTTGTCCATGGTATCGATATGCAGGAACCACCTCATAAAGAGAGCAAGCGGATTTCCTTGATCTGTCTGGTCATTTGTGGCAAGGCCACGCAGAGTCGGTCTAATGTCCTTTGACTTGCGAGTTATTCCAAGTTCGCACTAAGGCGGCTCTTCGTCGAAATTGTACCATCTTTTTTTATGACGCTCTTACGCCTGTCGCTGCTGAGAAAAATACTTTCGGTCGACAAAAATTTTGATCATGCCTGGTTTGGCATGTCCGAGTAGGTATTATAGTGTAGTATCTGTCCAAGGCTGTGGCTAAACAAGACAGCTGAATTGAAGTGAATCCTTCAAACGCACAGCAGCGTCGGCTTAGTTCAGCATGCCTTGAGGCAGATCAATCCTTTAAATCAGAATGTTCGCTTGCCAGTGATCCTTCAAATTGGCTTAGCTATAGGGCGGGGGAGGGGGGGGGGGGGCGAAGGAGGGACTGGAATCAGGACCTCGGATTTGAATGTTATGCAAGGACAAAAGTCAAAAATGCTCAAAGCCAAATAACGGCAGCCGATTTTTTTTCTATATGGCTGTTACTTCCTATTCATTCCATATTGCCGACATCTGAACAACATACATGCATAACTTAGATTGCTATTGTTGCATGAGCAACCTTTTCACCAGCTGCTGAGGTGTAAACTAAAAGAAAGTGTCATGTGAAATATGAAGGATTCAGAGAGAATAACATTTAGAGGTATTTACGCGATATATGATTAACATTTTGGTGCATCGACCTTTGAATAGTGCGCTCGTCTGGTGACCTGTGCTGTATTGTTGGTGACCTGTCTTGTGGGGTGGTGATGGTAACCTGTGGTGGCGGTAGTGACCTGACCTGACGTGACCCCTCCCCCACCCCACCACGCCAGCTCGAGCAGCGGCGACGGCTCTGCCTCTGAGGACACCAGTGACGGCGACTCCCAGCCGGACCCGCACGCGCGGCCCGGCGCCGTCTGCCGCGTCTGCAGCGGCGCCAAGCCCGGAAAACAGCTGCTCCACTGCTCAAAGTGAGTAGGATCACATATTTGTTTAGAAGTGAAATGTTGCGTGTGGGCTGTGGACGTATGAGGTTTGGAAAAGTGAGACAGGGATGTAAACATTTGTGAGGCGTGCTGCAGATGTTTGATGTCACTGTGCTAGTCAGCGATTTAGTTGCCGCCCTTGCTGTCCTTGTCGCTGAGTTCGACAAACATGACATGGTTTCGCTAGTCCATTATACATTTGAAGACCTCGGCGTTTCCAATGCTGCACAAGAACCGAAGCTGCATGTAGCTTGTCTCAGGCGTGACGGGCGATCTTTATGGACCTCATCTCCCCATCTTTGTTTTGTGTTCTGTTTTGTGAGCAGTGAGCCGTCTTGCGTCTAACCCTCATCGGCTACCGGGGACACATCTCGGCAGCTTCTGTTTTCCGAGATTCGTGCGGTGCCGGTGCGATGAACAGATGAAAGGCAGCGCTCTCGTCGTGGATCGGCCCGTTTGTATTCATGAACGGGTGCGGGGTGACTGGTGCGATTTATGTACTCTGTCACCGCTGGCAGAAGATCAGATTGCGCAAATAACGAGACGAGATGATTTGATGTTCTACTGAAGGGTTGAAAAGTAAATGGCTAGTTTGAGGCGATTTATCTGGATTTGAAGATATGGAAAGTTATGATGTGACGAGTAAGTCCAAAAAATGGATTTATGATGCCGAGGCTCAGGTGCGCGAACCCAATTGTCATAGTATCCTTGCCATGTCTTTTCTATAAAATGACGTTTACTTTTTGCTTACCAAATATTTTGTGGTTTCCGCTTTCAAAGTTTAAGTGACAGGTTATTGATAAAAGACCACGTTTTTCTTCACGCTCTGAAGCATGAATATTGAAATTTAATTTCCGGTTGTTTTAACACCATCATGGTAATCTGTCAGCTAGAATTTCATTTATCTCCTCATTTCCAATACATACCGACTCTGATTCCCGATCCGCGAACACACTCCTCCGAAGGTCGCCAGTGGTCGGCAGGACGGTTCGTTCACCTCAGAAACGTGTCATATGAGATATTCGGCGTACGGTTCGGGTGGGATATGGAGAGGAACAACGGTTGATTATCACTCAAACCACTGACAGCTACACTGCTTTTTGTGTGGTGCCGTTCTCTGATAGTTGTTTCCTGGACCGCTGAAAATATTAAATTCCAAGGGTTAAAAGGTCAACCAAGTGGGTAGCGGTATCATGGTCGCGGCTTTGTTAGTATTCGCGTTTTTTTTTTCCTCGTAAATATTAGGTCGGAGCACCTGTTTAAATAAAATTAGAGTATATGCCCGTTAAAGTCGGGTGACATTTCGCTGTCAGTAATTTGTCTGACCTCGGAGCTCATTGCCTACCTACTAACCCTCTGCTCTACCCTTGCCCGCCTCCCCCTCGCTCCCCCAGGAGCTGTCCAGTGCCTACGAACATAGTGGTTGCTGGCCTGCTGATCCTCTCTCCAGGACATGGTGGCCCTACCGCTGACCCCCTTCCCCTCCCCCAGGTGCGACTCGTCTGCCCACCCGCAGTGCCTGGAGGTGCCCCAGGACATGGTGGCCCGCCTCCGCGCCTACCCGTGGCAGTGCATGGAGTGCAAGACGTGCATGAGCTGTGACTCGGCAGACGATGAGGACAAGATGATCTTCTGCGACTTCTGCGACAGAGGGTCAGTTACGCTGCAATGCCCTCCTAGATTGTAGAATGTAGATGGTGTTCTGTTGAGTGAATCATTGCGTCCATATCGGAATTTCAGAGATTACCCTTACGTTAAATATAGTTATAGTGAAATTGAAACGTATTTTACTTCTTGCTTTTGTATTTCATTTGTGTCATTCTTAGCGATGCTATAAAAGGTATATCGATTTGTAGGTATGCAGACATGCATTTGGTGTACCTGCGAGCGAATGGTGTCTACCACCTAGTCTTCTCTGCTATGTCCTCATTCTATAGTTTCTGCTGTGTTCCTGGCCTCTGACACACATGATTTACTCGTCAGGTACCACATCTACTGCGTGGGCCTGCGCCGGGTGCCGACCGGCCGCTGGCACTGTGTCCAGTGTGCGCGCTGCCAGACGTGTGGTACCACCGACCCCACCGGCGGACTGGAGCAGGCCGAGCTCAACAGGGACCCCGAGTGGGCCCATCAGGTACGACACGGGCTGGTGAGGGAGTCGGGTGGGCCCACCAGGTATGGAATGGGGCAGAAAGGGCAAGTGACCCAGAGTGGGCCCAACAGGTACGGAATGGGAAGCTAGAGGGGATCACCAGGTACGGAATGCTGTGACGAGGGACCCCGAGTGGTCCCACCAGGTACGGAATGGGGTGGAAAAGGGACTCTGGTGGGTTCACCAGCTAGGGCATGGGACAGCGAGGGACCCCGAGTGGGGCCATTAGGTACGATGCGGGGCCGGTGTTTAAAAGACGAGATGGATGTTTGTACTCCCTGAATTTATCGTAGTCAGCACGTAGTACCTATACACTACACGGGATGTAAATACTTTGTCGGCTGGGTGGTGAGGCCATGAGTTCGCCAAACGCTGAACTTTGCCCTCCGAGTGATATGGATGGTTTGTGCCGGTTTCACCTCTGCATTATTTAGATTAGTGACAGCGATACTCAGCTAAACTGTAGATTAATCATGGAATATTGCACATTTATCCATAATTAATTTAACATTTCACTGGCATTGACGACTTTATTACCCGTCACGAATAATAATGTCAAACTATAGGCTAAAGGTGAATGGCAGTTTTCCAGTTTGTCGACTTATATTCTTATCGCAGGAGACTGTAAAAGTTCCGTCTCTCAGCCGTGAAGTAGGTTGGGCTGTGTCTCCATTTTCTCTCGTTAAGCGGAATCTTAGCTGGACCGGCCGTTGCATCTGTCGGCAGTTCAATATTGCGACTGAGTAAACTTTCTTTGTATCCATTCACCCTGGGTGTCATGACGGTTCAGTCGGCACTTAATTGAGCTGAACGGGTCATGCCTTGCTAAATGTGGAACGCTTCGTCACTGAGACCGGTTTCCAAAGAAAGCGAGCTTTTCGGGCAATTGTGTTCAGAGATGATGTCTGATGGACAGGGGATATGACACAGTACTCTACTATGCTCGTTTCCTATATTATTTACGTCCATTCCAGCTCCAAGACCTATTTATAAGCGGGCCCTCAAAATAATATCTCGTCTGAGTCTTCTGGTCATAGATGAACCGATCAGAGACTAGGCCTCGAAAACAACCTCCCAAAAGCAAAACAACACAACGCAGACACAACGCTCCGTCAGAGGATACGCTAAATGTGTTCGTCAGCTCATCTGGCACCCCTGCTGTGTGCTCACTGTTGACCATCATCAGCTGCCGACGTGCATTATCCGTTATCCCTTCTCACATAGGCGCACATGATCCCTATCCCCACGCCACCTGATGTGTGACGAAGGTAGCTGTCGGCAGGACACCGTTTTTGTCACATGTTCACCGTTCCCGCCCGCTCGGCGGCCTGTGGTGCGACCGAGGGCACCCGCAGTAGGAGGACGCGGGGATTAACGGCACATCTTAGTTAAATCGGTGACACGTCGACGGCACCCCTGGTTGTAGGATCTTTATCTGATGAGAGATTCACTGGGTGTTAGATGTTTTTGCTTGTAGCACAGGAATGAGGTCGACTATGGTGCGAATCTGCTGGTACCTACTTGGGCTGGATTCCGGAAAAAATATTTACGAGTAAGCAGCTTCTGAAATCAGCTGGGGATTGAGTTAATCCTGCCTTAGCGATTTGTCTCAATAAAGACGCACGCAGTTTTTATGGTGTTGAGCTCTCACCTTCTGTGTGCAATGTGCATGATGAGTGCTATGATTTGTTTCTTAGCTCTTCACCGGGCGTTTCTGTGGGCTGTCGCTCACAAATACTTTCGGCATCGTTACTGAAGGCCGTAAAAAATTAACAGGCATCCGAGCTCCACCAATTTTTCGACACCTATTGTTGCCCCCTTCCTTCAGAAGAAAGTCGAAGAGGCATCCATGTATTCAAACCACAACAATATTGACCCAGCTGAAATAGCCGTCGCTCGGTCGATCGTTTATCATCTGATGCAACTGTCCCAGTAGCAGTAGTAGCCCACAGTCACTGTGTATCTAACGAGTGCATCACTGTTGGAGCGCCCCAGATGTCTCGTCATGGCGCATCCCTGGGGCGTCATAGCGGGCCGTCCCAGCTCCTGGGCCCGTGCCGTCTCTGAAGGCCGTCTCTCACCTTATAGACGTGACGTGCATCCCTCCATCGTCACGACTCGCTCGATTATCGGCTGTAATGTGGTCTCGATGCTGTGATGATGTGTGGTAATTGCTCTTGAAGAGGGTGACTTGAATAGTGGACTGAAGGTTTCATCCTGGACGATTGGTGGTGCTCCTACCGTGGGAATTTCGACGAGGATCAGCCCGGGTGATTTTTCCGTTAGCTGACAATAAGCGGTTTGCCTCGATTTTTCCTGGTTGTGCCGGCGGGATACTGATTTTGCTCACTCATCAGCGATGTCAGGTTCTGTGATACGCCGTTTGTCGTCGTGTAGTTTCGTGTAGCGGCGTGAAGCAGGTGTTAGTTGATCCGGGTAGCCGTCGTAGAGGCAATTGGGCCGCAGCGCGCTAGACAAAATTGTGGCTCGAGATAGGATGGCTTTGCCGTGCCGAGGGAATGGGATAGCGGAGACCATTGGCCACCACTGCTAGGAATGGGGGGGGGGGCTGTTGGCAGCGCAGAGATGTAATCTGTCATCTGCGACCACCGAGCTGTCGTGCGGTTTTGCCGGTACGCGCAGTGACAGTATCGTCTGTCTGTGCGTGTCGACTATTGAAGGACGCACCAGAGGCTCGGAGAGGGATATTCGGGTTTCCCGCCGACGAACCGTGGCCGTGACCTCGCGGTCGGCTCGGCTGATCGGACAAAAACGGACGCAGAGGGAAAAACTGGCGTCCTTGCTGGTACTCGAGGACTTGTGCAAAACACGAGTGCCGCATGGTTCATGTTTTGAGATCCACATTCTTGTGTTACTGTTGGAATGTAGTGGAAAAGCCACGTATATCTCATTTATCGATAGTCTGATTAGTGTTGCGTTTGTCATAAAAGCTTTCGTAAACAATCTTTTATTCGAGTCCGCATGTTCCTTATTTTCTTTATGCTATCTATGGCCGTTTTTTCTTCTTCTCGTGATGCGGGTTTAGCCGGCTTCTTCACCACTAGCCATCTGCTTAACCCGCGCCCTGCTGGGGGTCCTGGATTTCCACGCCCTGCTGGGGGGGGGGGGGTGTTTGAACACCCCCCCTTGTAACTCGGCTCCTGGGCCACGTAGCGATACGCGGAAGGCGGCGTTCGAAAGAGCGTAAAAAATAATGACGAAATCACTTCGGTCAATTTTTTGGTCAGGTCAAAGGTCAGGTCACCAGAGGTCATTGAAGGCAAAATTTCGCCGATTTCCAGGTCGAATGTCGAAAATTTCCAAGAAGCCAACGCATAACTCGGGAAACAATAGAGCTACAGCGCCGCGGAAAAGCGCATTCGATAGCCCTATTAACGCCCTTTCTGAGTAATTCTCTCAGATTTGACCTAACGTCAACGGTTTTGCCTGCAGGGGGCAAAAACTGCAAAAATAGCCGATTTTTTCGAAAACAGTTTTTCTGCAATAACTTTTGACCCAAACCTTGTACAAGCTTACTTTTACCGGCATCGTGTTCCTCTCGTCAAGACGCATCGAATGAACTATAACTTGACCTTGAAAGGTCAACTTGAAAATTTGACCTAAGGTCAAGGTCATGACCTGACCGGAAAGGGTCATGTTGCATATCAGTCGATCCGTATCGTCGAGCTGAACACATCTAAGGCGTTTTCATCGCTCTAGCATGCCTCTATCAAAAGTTATTTGCGAAAAACTGTTAGATACCATTCGTGACCTAAGATGACCTCAGGGCATAAACAAGGGTCACGGACACCATTTTCAAGTTCAGTGTGTCTAAACCACTTGTAATTCGGTGTTTGGGAGTGTTTATAATGTCTTTCATCCAAAAGAGGCGCATTTCAATTTTCTCCCATTGAGTTATAATGGGGAGGTCGCAAAATTGACCTGACCTTAGGTCATCGATATCAAAATTCTGAGATATACATTTTGTACATGCTCTTGTTCTTAGCAATCGCTGAAAGTTTCAAAGCGATCGGTCACTCGGTGTAGCAATGACAGACATTGAAAGTTTTTATGAGGTGAGGTCACTTCAAGTGACCTGGTGACCTGACCTTGAATGACCTTGGTCTGAAATTTTCACAACATGTGTAGAATTGATGTATGATAAGGTGTACCAAAAACGGCGGCGCTCCGCGCCGCCGTTTTTGAGATATTTGCGAAAAACCACAAGGGGGGGTGTTCAAACACCCCCCCCCCAGCAGGGCGCGGGTTAAGGACGCGATCGTCATAGTCATATTTCATAGCGAACTGCAGCGGTATTCCGGTGGTGGCACTCGTCAATCAGATGCAAATGGCCGATGGCGCGCCTCCCGCTGCCAGTATCAGCTCAATTGCCTCCTGTCTGCTCGATCAAAACCATTAGACATGGCCCTGCCACTGCTCTACATCGGCCTCAGTGAGAAATGACATTGCCAGCAGCCATTTGGCCCCGTTGACGTAATGATTCTCCGCTTCGTGCCCTGTTCAAAGTGCTGTAAGTGTGCTCAGCGTGGTGGGTCCCAGTGGCTAAATGTAGGCAGTGATGCTATCTATATTCGCTCATTATGGTAAGTATACCCTTTGTTGCTGTAAGTGGCAGCTAGGCACACTTATGCGACCTCTGTTAAATATTAACTAATCGTTTTATATCGAAACAAACTGTGCCTGTCATATATTTGAATCATATCAGGCACGTGACCAAAGGGTAGACATCGGTAAAGATATGTGGGGGTGTCATTGTTAGCTGCTATTTTGATTCTTTGCTGACTTGTTGCTCAGATCAGCTATCACGCGACTTCATTGGAATTACAGCTACATGCAGTTCACGTTGACTGATTCTGCTGTTTCATTTAAACCGTTTAGTATGGGTGTCATAATCTGAATTTTGATGGTCAGTAGTGCCCGGGTATCCTTTCTATCAAAGTGCAGTTGAACCGCTACCTATTTTGATTACAACCTGCAGACAATGCTTCACGCATTGAGCAACAGCGGCGCACACAAGCCTCATTGCACCGAGGAGATGAAGTCTAAGCAGCGGTAAAGATCAAAGCTTTGGAGAGTCTAGATCAACGAGTTACCTGCATGCATCTTGAGCTTTCGTTATCGACTCTCACAAAAGGCTAGCTGAATGGTGACCCCGTTTTAAAAGGTGCTCACTGCTCAGCCTTACGAAATATCTATCGAACAGACAAAGGTAAGAATAGAGATATTGTCACAGTGCAGATGTAACTGTGCCATTTGTGGTACACCCTGGAGTGACTCTTGGTTCGTGTCTATACCTAACGCCATCGCTCCTGGGCTAATTGGTTACTGGTAACATATCGCCGCGCTGATGATGCCCCAACATCGATGGGTGTCAATAATTATACGGTAGCCTCGTTTCCAACGAGGTTTTGCAATGTGGGATGGTTGGACAAAATGAGAGCAGGATGGCGTCCACACGTGCCTGGCCTGAAAATCTTCGGCAACGCTGCGGAAGAATGCTGATTGATTGGAAGATAGGCTGGTTTTGCCGACCGCCTTTGTTAGCCCGCGCCCTGCTGGGGGTCCTGGATTTCCACGCCCTGCTGGGGGGGGGGGTGTTTGAACACCCCCCCTTGTAACTCGGCTCCTGGGCCACGTAGCGATACGCGGAAGGCGGCGTTCGAAAGAGCGCAAAAAATAATGACGAAATCACTTCGGTCAATTTTTTGGTCAGGTCAAAGGTCAGGTCACCAGAGGTCATTGAAGGCAAAATTTCGCCGATTTCCAGGTCGAATGTCAAAAATTTCCAAGAAGCCAACGCATAACTCGGGAACCAATAGAGCTACAGCGCCGCGGAAAAGCGCATTCGATAGCCCTATTAACGCCCTTTCTGAGTAATTCTCTCAGATTTGACCTAACGTCAACGGTTTTGCCTGCAGGGGGCAAAAACTGCAAAAATAGCCGATTTTTTCGAAAACAGTTTTTCTGCAATAACTTTTGACCCAAGCCTTGTACGAGCTTACTTTTACCGGCATCGTGTTCCTCTCGTCAAGACGCATCGAATGAACTATGTCTTGACCTTGAAAGGTCAACTTGAAAATTTGACCTCAGGTCAAGGTCATGACCTGACCGGAAAGGGTCATGTTGCATATCAGTCGATCCGTATCGTCGAGCTGAACACATCTAAGGCGTTTTCATCGCTCTAGCATGCCTCTATCAAAAGTTATTTGCGAAAAACTGTTAGATACCATTCGTGACCTAAGATGACCTCAGGGCATAAACAAGGGTCACGGACACCATTTTCAAGTTCAGTGTGTCTAAACCACTTGTAATTCGGTGTTTGGGAGTGTTTATAATGTCTTTCATCCAAAAGAGGCGCATTTCAATTTTCTCCCATTGACTTATAATGGGGAGGTCGCAAAATTGACCTGACCTTAGGTCATCGATATCAAAATTCTGAGATATACATTTTGTACATGCTATTGCTCTTAGCAATCGCTGAAAGTTTCAAAGCGATCGGTCACTCGGTGTAGCTATGACAGACATTGAAACTTTTTATGAGGTGAGGTCACTTCAAGTGACCTGGTGACCTGACCTTGAATGACCTTGGTCTGAAATTTTCACAACATGTGTAGAATTGATGTATGGTAAGGTGTACCAAAAACGGCGGCGCTCCGCGCCGCCGTTTTTGGGATATTCGCGAAAAACCACAGGGGGGGGGGGGTGTTCAAACACCCCCCCCCCCAGCAGGGCGCGGGTTAGTAAGATGAGTTGTGGTTCTATTCTGAGCTGCAGTGTATGATTATCACCTCTAATTTGTGCCATTGCACTTGCTGTTGCGTGCTTTGGGCAGTTTCAACACATTTGCTGATCTGATTGTGCTTTACACCACCGATTGCTTCCCATTTCATAATGCCTATTAATTAGTCCATCAGTTGCAGGAACTTTTGTTGAATCCCTCATCTTCCATGACCAGCTGTATGCAAGAAGATGCTTTGCAACGGTTTATTGCCCAATTACGAAGACCATTCTCTTCTGTTCTTTTTTTCATTCCGTGATCACTTTCTTCGTTCATTAGCCGCACACTTAGCCACGTGTTCTTACGCCTAATCCAGACGCCAGCACTTTTTCAAACCTTTCCGGACAGTCGTCTAACGGGCAGCTTTACACGTCAGCGGACTGCGGCTTCTGATCCCGATTTGAGCTACATCAGCCGACAGCTGGACGGATTGACCGGTCGGGGGTGCTCACGAACATACTCAGCTGGGTGTCTGGTCCTCTAGGGAACGTGTCTTAGTAGTCCGAGAAACTAGGCGCCCATCTCGGCGGTCGTGTGGAAGAATCTGAGGGCGGGGAGGGGGGAGGGGGGTTGACCGCTATTATGCCACTGTTGGTGTCTGCGAGTGCCTCTGAACAGCCACTCGACTTTCACTGTGGATGACGAGCTGTTCGCGTCCCGGTATTCTGCCACCCACGCCGCCCCGCGACGGTGGTGCGTCATCTAATTGTTCTCCTGAAACGCTGCCGTTTCTCCGAATATTTCCCAGTCCTTTCGCTGCTGTTGCGTGGGTACGGTTCCTGGCTAATTTTGCATTGTATCAGTGTCTGTCGCAATTTACTTGCTTTTTCCTGAGCATGCAATTCACTTGCTTTTTCTTGAACGATGCAATGCATGTTGCCGGTAAGATGCGCAATGCGCATATTCATACAGCATACACGTTTCATATTAGCCTCTGGGGTGGCAAGTAGGAGCTAGGGGTACAGTAAGGTGCATTCGATCAGCCTATATCATCCGATCCATTCCACTTTTGCCGACTGTGAACATTTACTTCTACTTTTAAAAGCACACCTAGGGCGTTCGCATTCTATGGCCGCCACTGTTTATTGAGATGCTGACAGAGGGAGAGAAGTTATGTAGGTTGTTGAAGTGATACCTGTGGCTTTATGTATCGCGCTCAGCTGAGCCCGGGTTACTAAGAAGTTTATGAACCATAAAATGTTCAGCCACTATCTGATCGCATAGCATTAGATTTGTTAGGCGAACAGTCTGACAGTGGAGTATTCATTGTTAAGTTTCCACTAATTTAACAGTTTTGTCTGTAATGAAGGTCATGTGTACGATGAATCCTTGGGTCGTATGACTTTTTATGTCTTGGCCCAGCATTTATTTTGCATACTTTTGGGATTATGTGAAAGAATGGCATCGGTCTAGTTTTCGAAAGATTATCAAAAATCGCAAAAAAGGCTTTCGTAAAAGATGTCTGCTCTTTTTTGTCAGCAACGCGAGATAAAAGTTGCAATATGTTTTAGCTTTTTACGATGCTCTTGGACCCTTGGTTTGTTTCACGTTTTTGAGCCAAATACATTGATGAGTTTTAGATGCTTTCACCCATAGCGTACCGCTGCAGGTTTACCACAATTTTACGATTATAAAGGTCTTATTTTCTGTATCAAGCCATAACTGACAGCAGTAAATTGAGAAATAAACATAACCTCAAGTTTGTTTCTTCGCTTTGGCCTAGCAATTACCCGGGTTGCTCCATGCGCTGAATCAATCACTCGCTCGCCGCCAGCTATAAAATCTCCCAGACAAGCCACATCTTCACCCACATTCGTAAACAAGCGAGACGGCTCGCGCAGCGTCGCCACGCACCATAACTGTCACCTCCCGGTGCGTGGGTGCCGTGGAGATGAACCTACTCCCCGCGCCGCTCTGTGCACCTGTCTGCGAGACTGACTTACCCTAGTGTATGTGTGTGTGAGTGTGTGTGTGTCTGTCCCATAACGGCCACCCTGTTTGTGTTACAGTACCGGCGCCGCGGGGACGGAGTGCGAGTCTACACCACAACTCTGTGCATCCCGTGCGACAGGTAGGTTACGGGGTCACTGCCGGCGCCGCTGGAGCCATTCCCGGTGTTAGGAGAGGGGCGGGCGAGACAGTTTACGCACCATTCAGGGTCGCCGCCGCCGCCTCTGCTGCCCGAGGCTGTGGATGGCCCGCAATGGGTCGATTGTTTTTGTAGTGGGGATTCCAGGCCGGCGCTCTGGGTGTTTTTGTGTTGCATCCCCTCGCATGCATGGTGCAGTCGCAATCTGTCTTCTCCGAGTTGACCGCTCGTGGCTGCTCGTTTTCCTGTTATCTTCTTCAATGTGTTTTTCAACATCTCTCTCCCTTTCTCGTTCCTCTCCAATCCCTCACCGATGTTTTGCATTACTCTCTCCTTCTGTATTGACTTCTTTCACCATCCATCTCCTTCGCCGCTCTCCACCGTTCCCCCTCGGCTGCCCATCTGTATCTCTCCACCACAGCTGTGTTTGCCTTTATCCCCACTTCTGATAGGTCATTGTATGTGGGCGCGTGTCTGTGCATCGGGAAGGCGCTCGTGGCCTCTCCTGACCCGCCAGTCATCGCCCATTGACCGCCTCGCCCCCGGACCGGCCAATCTGTGTGACGGCGGCCCGTGACTCCGCGCCGACCCGTCACGGCGCCCGTCACGAGCGCAGTGACGCGGCGTCGGCGGCGGTCACGATCGTCGCATCTTCGGCGCCGCGTTCGACCCCGATGCGTCCACAGTGGGCCGCGGACGGGGTAGGCTAGGCCGTGATGACGCTTCTATCGTGATGGGTTATGACCGTGAGCTTTGTACTGAGAGACTAAAGACAGAGCTTTGGGGGACAGCTAGCCCTCGCTAGATTAGTGTATCTTTTGGAGAAGGGGCGGGGTGGGATCGTTAGGGCCGCACGGCGCGGCACGATGACTCCTCTTCAATGAACGTGACCGCTGCTGAGCCGCCGTGGAGGCCATGAGTCCCATAACGTCGGCTCAGTAGGGGAGAGGCACGTAGCAAGGGGATGCGAGCAACGGTTCGGTGAAGCGAGATGATGCCAAATACAGGGAGACGGGATGGGAGGACAGGGGACCGAAACTAAGCAGCTTCAAAACTTAACGAGAGAGAAGGAAAAAGGTGTGTTTGGGAAGGGAGGGAAGGAGTGAATGAGAGAAATGTTCAGAACTAATGAGGTACGGAAGGATAAAAGAGTTACGGATAGGAGCTAAGCGGAAGAGTGTGAATTGACTGGTCTATGTGATGAATGGCGACTCGGAAGTCCGTCTCAACAGACGACTTCTTTCACCAGCGCTCTTCTCTCCGCGCCTCTTTCATCAGTCCTCTCCTGGCTCGCCTTGTGTGTGCGCTGACCAAGCACAGACGACCGATCTTGCCGCTCGATGTTAGGTGAGACTAGCTACAGACCTGAACAAACCTCCGTATTTGCCCGACTCCACCCATGTCGCAACGCGGACACCAAAGGTGGCCCGATTCAGCGTGATTGGTAGGCTCTGCGCAGCATCAATGAATGGACGACGTAACGCGGCGGACACACTCGCGTGTTAGGTGTTGTGTGATGATCGAGAGTGAAACTGCTGTCCCTTTCAGTGGAGGCGGAAGACATCAGACCGGTGCGTTTTGGTGGTGTTGGTAACAATTTGAGGGAGCGGACGTATTGTGGTCAGCGGTGCAGTGAACTAATCGATTTTGCGAAATAAGGATTAATTGTTTAAGCGCGAGAGTCTTTATGAAAGGTATTCGGGATAATGAAGCACTCACAATGATGTGAATTAGGTCCGCAGTGTTGTAAGTGTTTTACGTTTTTCTTCCGTCAGGTAATTTGCTGAGCTTTCCGCATGCAATGATATAAGTTTTGCAAGCTTCCTGCTTGACCACGAGAAATGTGTTTCGCAAGCTTGAGGCTTTTGTGATTTTATCGTTTCTGGTTTGCATCCATGCAACCTTTTCGGTACAGGAATTAGCAGCATTCAAAATGAATAATATCCTTGCCATTTACCTGTCAAAGCACGAAGTAGGTAGCGTGAAAGTTATTGTTCATTGTTGGAGGCAGCAGCTCCAATGGCCGAAAACAATCGAATTTTATTAACCATGCTGGAAACAAGCGTAATGCTGACGTTCTGAAGCTTCTTTGTTACGTAAAACACACTTGTGCCGCATCTGTCAATTGATACTGTCACAATAATCAACACAGGTATAAAACTTCCTAATCATCCTTAAGTTCCTTATAAAATCCTATAGCATCATTATACCATCCTCAAGCTCTGGAATCAATATTCCCGCTTTTGAAGAGAACGCCGTACCTTTATTCACAAATCTGCACCCTAATCGTACCGTATTTTGTCGTCTGTCGAGTCTGCATCCACTTCTCATCGCGCCTCATCTAAGCGAAACATTAGTCTGCACCTACTTCTAAGCGAAACATTCCTCGGGGATGTATCTCTGACGTATCATGATTGCGCCTTGGGTGCAACTCGACGGAGCCGCTGTCGAAGGCTCCGTTTGTGGTAGGGCTTATACACATTACACAGCACACGGTGCAAACGGCGGTAATCTTCGGATGGCATTGTTAGATTCATCGAGCCTTGGGGTGGGATCGGTGAACGGGCTGGGCTCGTCATGGACACTGTCCTAAATGGATGCACATGTAATCGGTTATTACGGTATTAGTTGTTATATACTGCTGGAACGGAGATCTGGCAGAGCATAATGGATGTTTATAACAAGTGTTAAACATTTTAATGTGATAAAGGGAAGATGCCTGGCAACGAACTGTTTTGAAAACACGGCCAAATGGCTTTGATGCCAATGTCTGGCCCATTCCGTAGGGCACACTAGTGTTTGGAGTGTAAATATTTTCAATTGATGACTTTCATGTAGCATCAATGGTGACTACTGCCTTTTACATTTACACACTTCTGCTAGAATGTTTTCGTTCTTATATTCACGTTTGAGATTTTTGGTTGCGATATTCCTGAACCCTGGGTCAAGCAAATATTGGAGATGAGTGCTTGGAATGTCATCATAAGAGTGACAACAAAACCATCGCGTGTCGCAAATCCGTCGCTAGTATTGACGCCATTTTCCTGACCTCTGATGACCCAAAGGCATCCAACAGTGTCAAACAAACTCCCAGTCATCTGCACACAATAGGAGGCTACTATCCTTATAGTAGCTCTCTTTCATATACCCTCATTTATCTGGGGTCTTGCTTCCATTCGCCCGGACTTATCGTTGGTCATTGGGAGATCCTAAATGCTTTCGATATTTCGGTTCTATTGACATGAAGATAATGACCTATTGCAATGGCTGCCCGTTAAGCTTCCTGATACTCAAGCATTGATCCAGGAACTATTTGCTACTGCGCATTAGCTTGACTGTTTCCTTGAGGCAATCATAATTATTAATTAGCATTATTCCGTTAAGCATATCACTGCCACGTCAAATCAATGTCTTTGAAATTATCGACGCTTGCCTTGCATGACGATATTGACCACAACTGCCAAGCCCATTCCACATGATTCTCCGTTAATCTGCTGATGACGGACCAAATAAGTCGGACTTATTTGGTCCGTCGTCGTCCATCCGCAGGGCCGGATCCCTTTAGTCAGGGCCATTTCCTAGACTCCTGGCAGGGCTGTCTGGGCATTTTGCAGCTCTAACGCGTGGGTGCCAGGCGGGCGTGGCGAGGCTGTCGCTCGGGCTCCCATCTGAACGGTTCCATCGGTACAGCCCGTCAGAAACTGCCAATGGACAAGGTCGCGGCCTTGTGAACCTTAACCCGCGCCCTGCTGGGGGGGGGGTGTTTGAACACCCCCCCCTTGTGGTTTTTCGCGAATATCTCAAAAACGGCGGCGCGGAGCGCCGCCGTTTTTGGTACACCTTATCATACATCAATTCTACACATGTTGTGAAAATTTCAGACCAAGGTCATTCAAGGTCAGGTCACCAGGTCACTTAAAGTGACCTCACCTCATAAAAACTTTCAATGTCTGTCAAAGCTACACCGAGTGACCGATCGCTTTGAAACTTTCAGCGATTGCTAAGAGCAATAGCATGTACGAAATGTATATCTCAGAATTTTGATATCGATGACCTAAGGTCAGGTCAATTTTGCGACCTCCCCATTATAAGTCAATGGGAGAAAGATTGGTAATATTACTAAGTGCTCGAGCGAGGAACATATTGAATATAATTAGATAAATAAAAGAAGTTGACCTTTTCCTCGACATCAAAAATGTAAAAAGCCGAATAATATATTTTAAAAAAACGGTGAGCTTTCGGCCACTGGCCTTTATCAAACCAACGTGATAACAATGTTAAAAGACGATCCTGTGAATAATCTGGCTGCCATTTTTCAAAAACCGAAGATCGTGATATTTTAGAAAAGGCGCTACTCATAAGGGCAAACTATTTGATCGATCGATTGTCTACATAGTGTCCGATGTACGTAACATACATAATATACAATTGTACACGTAGCTGTCAAACACACATCGTATGGAAGGTATGTACACTAACGCCGATGTACATCACACACATAACAAAATAACATACACATACACATATTAATCGATTGAGTTGAAAAGGCTACACGCTCACAAGATACACATGATACAGGCGCTTACATGATTGGCCACGACGAAAGATTTGAGTTTATGTGCGGGCGGTTTGCTTTTATAAGTAGGGATTCTGCGATTTTTCTGTCCGGGTGGTCTTTGGAGCGATAAAGGACGCGAACCTGAAGAGGAAGGGATGATTTGTTTAGCGGCGCGCCGGGGTGGTGCTCACGGAAGTGGTCTCCCATCGGGGTCCCTTCGGATGCGCTCAAGGCGTCTCGTAAATGTTCGTTAAATCTTAGTCGAACAGGTCGTTTTGTCTCGCCAATATATGTGCCGTCGTCACCCTTTCCTTCACACAACTTACAATTTAGCCTGTAGACGACGTTCTTCTGTGTACAATCACCTGAAAAATCTGATTTACACATGTTGCATCGTGGGCCTCCAGGGCAGATAGGTTTAGAT